CACATGCTAAGACGTGTTGGTATTGGCAGAGTGCACCATGGTTGGACATCCACACGCCCAGCAGTGGAACTGAATGAGTATGGTGATTAGGTGGATTTGGCGCCCCCTGGACTCTTTGTAGATGCAGTATCCAAACTAGAACCTGTAATTTCCTGCCACTTGCAGGGCCGTCATTCTGATGAGCATGGGAGCAACTGACTCTCTGGATCCTTATTCAGCTGGAATCCCGTTCAGCTGACAGAGTGGGGAAACTGAGGCTCAGAGGGGGTATAGGTATTGTGCCATGGAACCCAACCTTTCATTCCAGTTTATTTGACTTCTCTGTAAATCATCCTGTCAAAGCGCAATGAAATAAACAAACAAAAGATATAGAAACACCAGACTCAAATTCGGTAGAGCAGTGAGGGTTAGTGAAGCTGACATCTTGCAGTCAAAGTTGTGAAGGAAACATTTTGTTAGGTGTCCCCTTCTCAGGGTCCCCTCCCTGCAACTTCCTTAGAGCGAACAATCCTTACCTTTCCTACTATTTAAGACTCCACTGGATTTTTACCCTCTACCACCTTTGAGGACAGTGCTGTGTTTTAAGATAATAGCTTTCATTTTCTTCCCTTGGAGAGCCGGGTGTTGGAGACAAGGTCTTGCTGTATGGTTCAGGCAGACGTTGAATTTACTGTGCAGCCCAGGCTGGCCTCCAACGCCTGATGATCACCATGCTTCAGCCTCCTGAGTGCTGGGGTGACAGTCATACACCACCAAGCCTGGTTCATCTTCTCCTTTTATGAGAGAACTTTTCTGTGGATGAAATGTCTAGAAGATGCCAGTCACAGATATGAGCAGGACTGCACGAGGGAGGCAGCAGCACTGTGATTGTCCTCTTTACCCTTCCTGATGAAAACTCTAAGGACACACACACATGCATGTGTACAAACACACACACACACAATTTTTAAAAGCCTTTGTTTATTTTTGTCATGGCTTTCTTTTAATCAAAGTTTACCAGAATATGTTTGTTTTGCTTCGCTTTGTTTTGGGGCTAAGGATTGAACTCAGGGACCCATGCATGGCAAGCATGCACGCTATCCAAAAGCCTTTGCCTCCAAATCTATGTTTCAAGTCTCATTTCTTGGATCACTGATATGACAACTAGTTAATCCTATTGGATTACCAGTTTACCCATTTATCTCAGAGTTGCATAATAATGGTAAAAATAGTAGCAGTAAAGTAATAACTAGAATCTTAGACAATGTTTGTATTGTAACTGAGATGTTATGGAAGCAACACCCAGATTAATGATTCCCCTTTTGAAAAACCCCAGGCACTTCCTACCATCTTCCTAGGATTTACTGTCCACGTTGGCAGAGTCCTATTAGGAATGATTCCTACATGTGTGGGTGGAGCTCACGCTAAAGTCCGGTATCCTCCGCCACTTTCCTAATAATTGCTTTTCAAGTAACATCTCAATGAAAAATTAAATGACAAAAGTGAAAACTCTCACGAGAATCTTCTTTCCTTGGCTTAATAGAAACGATAATTTAAAAACACTAATGGGACAGATTTAAGGCAGCACCAGGCAATTTTATCGCTTTTGGGCAGGCAGATCTTTTATTTGTGGATGTTTTGTTGCCAAACGCTCCTCACACTCTAATTTCCTAACATTATGTTAATCGAGGTCACTAGGCCTCCTGCACACGCCTCAGTAACACTTTCCTTGTCCACGGTAACTCCCTCAGCCTCCACAGGGGGGCAGGAGACACCGCAGTGCGCTCGGTCGCCCTGCCGTCCTCTTGGGAGAGGCTCTAACCCTGAAGAAAATGCAGCAGCCAAGCTGCTAAAGGTGTCCCTCCCAGGTCCCGTCTGCCCCTCTCAAAGAACTTTTACCCTTTTAAAATGTTCTTTATGGAAGAGACTGCTGAATAATTAACCGAAGAATCTACGACTAGCCTGGAAGCTTAATTTCATAGCAGTATTGGAAGGCACAGAATATAGTGTGAATGTCTAAAAGCAGATTCGACTTGCAGTTTGCTCTTTATATCTTTATTTTTAGCAACACAAACACAACTATATACACGGAGACAGAGGAGACAGACCTTAGCGTGACTCATTAACATCAGAGTGGATTTCGATTTGAAACATACTGCCAAGGGAGGCCTCCTACATTGCTGTGGATCCTTGCTGTGATATTTAAATATGATTTTTTAAATATAGGGGTAGTGATGGAGTAGGGGCTAGAAGGTCTTGACTCCTGGTGGTGGTTACAGTTCTGATTAGCTTGCAATCTTGGGGTCCTCAACAGATTTTCACCTGTAAAATGATCACAGAAGCCCTTTCCTGGAAAGGATTTTCCTTGCATAGACCTGGGGCTGGTAGCAATAAAGCAAGCCCATCCAAGGTAATCCCAAAGGACAGCAGTCGACACCCTCCATGGTCCCTGACCCAGTGCTGTCTGTAGCCCCACATGACTCTATATAGAATTCTGGCGGTCTTAAGCCACAGCACATAAGGCTCATTACTTTGTTTCCTGTTTACTGATAACTTGTAGCAGATAGTAATTGCTCTGGGCAAAGTGCAGAGAGAACAGACAGGGATGTTCTTGCAGGCAGGAACTATACCGTTGGACAGAGGGTCCAAAGCCATGAATCATCATTAACCAGATACCATACTGATAGAAATTAAAATAGTGATAAGACAAACCACAAGTGTTTCCTTCCCCGAGGGCAGGGATGGAGACAGACCACAAGGAGGAAGCTTCTCCTGTGATGTGAAGAGTAAGATGCAGAATAGGCCAAACAAGACCACACTTCCCAGGGCTGGCAGGTGGGCAGAGGGGAAGATGAAGAACGGGGTTTTGGAGGCTGTGGTTTTGCAGAGGAGGTTTTCACAGGCCAGAGCGGAAGAGGGGAGGGGTACAGAGCAGCAGAGAGTGGCCAGAGGGACAAGGAAGAAATGTTGAAAGCAATGGCCTTGGCAAGAAAATATTAAGTGACAAGGGAAGAAGTCAATGTGACGTCTAGCTCTGGATGACAACCATATGAGAAACACGTGCACCAAAATAAAGGAGAAGGGCGTCCACAAAGGCAAGAAATAGTGTAGTAGTAAATATTTGTGAAATGATTTTCATTTCATCTCAATTTTCTATTATGTTGTTAACCTGTTCAATGGTAATTTAAAAACAAGCTAAAGGCAGAGAGGAAGAAAATATAAAGCACCTGCAAATCTCAGACAGAACTTACTACTCATGAGACTAACATGGAGACACAAGTAAGGATTGGGAGAGAGCCAGAAGCATCCCTGGAGAGGTCAAGGGGAGAGAGGCCAAAAGGCCAGGGATTAAGAGTGCAGACACTGGAGCAGTGTGACCTCCAGCCTCAGTTTCCCTGCCTGTAACAGGGATGACATGGCACTGAGGAGTGTCATGAAGATTAAAGGAAACAAAGTCTGTAAGAGTCTTGGAAGCAGGTTGCTCGTTGTGGGTGTTTGTCGTTACCTGCGGGAGGCCAGGGTTCAGACTTTAGGAAACTGCAGGACTGAAGGAAGTAGACAGAAAAGAGGGCTCTGCAGACTCTCAGAGAGGGGTTCTGCAGGGAGAGAAGAAGAAAAAGCAAATAGAAGAAGGGGAAAGGGAGGGATAGGAAGAGACAATACACACAAAAAGTTCCATGGGGGTGGAGGAAGTCATCTGGGACCAAACCCTAAGGACAAGGTGGGGGTCAAGGAAGGAGACAGAGATGCTGGCTGCATGATGAGTGCTTGGATGGGAAGAGCTCTGGACTTGGGGCCCAGCTTGGGTGCTGCCCCTGGCTCGGTACTTCTTGGTTAAGTGACCTTGGAAAAGTCACGTTATCTCTTTGGATCTAATTTTTTTTTTCCATCCACGAAAGTGAGGAGAGTGAAGCCAATCTCCCAGCATTGCGACGATCCGAAGAGGACATTTATGGCTGGTGCTTGCGTCTGCTGAAAATACGCAGAGGAACTCTGCAGTCTCCAGCAGTCCAGGGCACAGAGCATCGCGCGAGGAAGCAGCCTCGGCCGGCCGTGAGGTCTTCTGCGTTTAGGCCCCCAAAACTCGAGCGAGGCAGTGGGCGGAGAAGACAGCCACAGTGAATCTGGGGACAGATAAAGGAAACTCGTGACCGGGCGAGGCTGGGCTGAAGAGAAACAGATTGGGGTAGAGCTGCAAAGGGAGGGAGGGGTCCCCTGGAAGGGGAAGAAGAGGTGGGGAGCAGGGAGCTGGGAGGGCAGCGCGAGGCGAGAGCAGGCTGGGGAAGGAGCGTTTGGAATGCAGGAGGAACTTGGGGAAGGAGAAAGTCCTGAGGACCGGAGGGAAAGGAGAGGGGGAAATGGGGGTGCAGTGCAGGCGGGGGAGGCCGCGAGAGGCGACAGGAGCCCGCGAGCAGGCGGAGAGGAGCGGTGGTGGCCGAAGCCAGCGTCAGACGAGGTTGGGGACCGCGGGGCGAGAGGCTGGGGCCTGCAGGGGCGCGCAGCAGCTTTTAGCATCGCTGAAACTCCAAAGACGCGTGGCCTCTGCCTGACCTCGAGGGTCGGGGGGAGTGCCTGTCTTTGTGCAGCGCGGTACCCCACAGAGAGAACGGGCCGAGCCGAGCTGGCCCCGGGGAGGCTTCCCGGGCCCCGGGCTGGCCCCGAGGGGCACAAACCGCCGACCTGACGGTTGGGGCGGAGGAGAGAAGGTGCCACCGCCCGGAGCTGCGGCCAGGGCGCGGACACCCGGCCGTCCGCGGGGGGCGCCGCCGCTTCCTGCCCAGTGCGGGGGTCGGGGCGCGCCTGCGGGGCGCGGGTGGGGGACACACGGGTGGGGGACACCCAGGTGGGGGACCCCCGGGTGGGGACCCCGACCCCGCGCCGCCCCGATCGGCGCTCGGGTGCGCGCTGCGCTCCCCGCCCGCAACTCCGCGCGCGCCCCGCGGGGGCGCTGCGCCCTCCCGCCGCCCGCCGCCCGCAGCCCGCTGCCCACACCTCGGCCCGCACCGCCCGGCCGCCTCCCTCCCTCCGCCCCCTCCCCTCCCCTGCCGGCGAGGGGCGGGAGGGGGCGTGGCGGCCCGGGGTTGTGTGGCTGGGACCCGGCTCCCCGCACTCGGAGTCCGCGCGAGGAGCCGGGCCCCGGCCGCTGTCCAGCCGCTCCGCGCCCCGCGCGGCCGCCGCGCGCCATGGATACTCCGCGGGTGCTGCTCTCGGCCGTCTTCCTCATCAGCTTCCTGTGGGATCTGCCCGGCTTCCAGCAGGCTTCCATCGCCTCCTCGTCCTCCTCGTCCTCCTCGTCCGTCGAGCTGGGCTCCACCAAAAGCGTGAGGAGCCGCAAGGAAGGGAAGGTGCCGAGGGAGAGCGCGGCGGGCCGGGCGCCCCAGGAGCGCCGGGAGCCCCAGCCCGGGCGGCCGCGGGACGAGCCCGGGGCTCAGGAGCCGGCCGGCCGGGCACCTCGCGTGGTGCCCCACGAGTACATGCTGTCCATCTACAGGACTTACTCCATCGCCGAGAGGCTGGGCATCAACGCCAGCTTCTTCCAGTCTTCCAAGTCGGCGAACACGATCACGAGCTTTGTGGACCGGGGACTGGGTGAGTGGCCAGGGCAGCCGGCTCGCCTGCTGGAGCTCCGCAGCCAGAGCGTGGCTCCAGCTCCCGGCAGGAGCTGCGGCTGTGAATTCCCTTCCCGCTCTGGACACTTCGCCTTCTTCTTTTTCTTAAACTGTTTTTTTCAGGCCCCAGTAAGTTTCCGAATGCGGCTGCAGATGTTGCTTCAATCTGCAAGCCTACTTTTTTCCTTCTTTCCCTTCCCCTTCCTTCCTCCTTTCCTTTCTTCTTTCCTTCTGTCTCTCTCTGTCTCGTCCGTGGTGGCCGAGGGTCCGCTAGCTAGTGGAGAAAGCTTAGAGGAAGAGGAGTGGAAGGCAGACGATCAGGGTGGAGAGTGGTCAGGTCGAGGACCGGTGCAGCGGGCGTCTGGGGTCTGGGTTATGCGGGATGCGGGTCCAAGGCCTGAGCCAGCAGGGTAAGCAGCCTGGCCGCCGGGCATGCGTGAGCGCTGGGCAGCCCCGTCTCTCCGGGAAAAGCCAAGCAAGTTAGCCAGGCTGCCCAGGGGGCGAGGCTGTCAGTGCCATCGGCAACATTCGGTGCCCATGCAGGGTGTGTGCATCATCTGCCCAGTGAGTGCCTGGCATACTCTATTTTTTGTTTTTCCTCCAGCACCTCAGAGTTGGTGTCTCAGAGGTCACAGCCTGAGTCGTTTTCCCACAAACAGGTGGACGGGGCAAGGCTAGCTAGGTCAGCCTTTTGGTCCTTGGTGCACAGAGTGCCTGCGTGCTGGCACCCCTGCATTGGGCCACCCCTCGCTCCCCTCTGCCTAGCGGGTGTAGTGTGGCTGTCTGCGTGAACCCCTCTCCAGTCCTGCCACCACAGCTAGTCTGCATCATGGCCGGTGACCTCGAGGAACCTCCCTCCTCTTTCCTCCAGCCTTAGAAGTTGGGGAGAGGGTTCCAAAAGAGGAGAGAGGAGCAGGGATGCCTAAGAAAGCGGAAAAAGAGGGATAGGGAGGAACAGGAGGGAGGACCGTGTGGAGAAGGAAGGAGATCAAAGAGAGGCAGCTCTCCGTCCTCCCCAGACTCAGCTCCTCCACTCGGACGTTTCCTGATCTTCCACTTCAGTTCAGTGAAAGTGGGAATGTGCCCGGAAATCTGGCAGCGCTGGGGTTGTGCAGAGGAGGCTGCCTTGCATGCTCATGCCTTCGCCAAGTGTTTCAGAGGCGGTAGCAGGTCCCGTTCTCAGTCCCTCAGCCTTGCTTTCTCCTTCCTGGGCCAAGGTCCTGCCGGAGCTCATCCTGCCAGCGCAGCAGCTGGAGGTCAGCGGGTTATGAGCTGCTGAAAGGTCCCGACAGCAAATTAATGCCAGGTATTTTATGATGTTTTTAGGACCACTAAAGTCATCTTTGCAAAGGCACGTGGCTGCTTCTTAGTGCTGCAACTATGTCCTCGCCTAGGGGTGGCACCCTCTTGCTCCAACCTTGCCAGAACTGTCTCCTGTCCCTCAGCCATCCATTGGCCTTGCACCTTTCCTGCTGCCTTCACCAAAGGGAGCCTCAGGAAGCCCAGAGGACAGTGCTCAGGGGTCCTTTCCTAAAGGGCAAATCCGGAGGCCTAGGCTGGCTGGTGGTGGGAGCTCATTTTCTTTTCCCAGGAAGTGGCCAGAACCCCCTCCCCAAGCAGGCACCCCTAGCTGGTTCACTGAGCCGCGTGAATTTGGCCTAGGAGCAAGGGATGCTGTGGGCTGCTCCAAGACGTCTGTGGAGGCCCTCAGAATTTAGGCAAGGGGGAGCAGTGTCTTTGAGGGCTCCAGCCGGGTTGCGGAGCTCGCAGCATCCTAAGCTGCCCTGCATGTCCCCCCCACCCCATCCCTGAGCACTGCACCGAGAGTCCCAGAGCATTGGAGGTAGCAGAGGGATTGGCTGAGTGCCCGGGATGGGGGGCTCTGTTCCTGAGCCAAGGTCTCTAGGCCAGCCAGATGGAGATCCAGACGTCCAGCTTCAACTCTAGAGTGGCTGAGGCTGTTGGCGGTCCACAGACTGAGGAGACTCTGCCTGACCACCCGGACCGCAGCTTCAAAGCCAGGTCCCCTCCACACTTCCCAGGTTCCCAGAAAACGCAGAGAAAGTCAGCTAGACACTAGTGCAGCTGACCCTAGTGCGGCTCGAGGGAGAGAGTGGGGAGCCGCCTGCGGGAGGGGTGAGTAGAGGAGGGGGTGCGTTTCTGGCTACAGCCCCAGCTTGATAAAGGGAAAGCCTCACTTTCCCTCTCACTGATTTTGATTTGATGTGTCACGGGCGGTGACCTCGGGCTGGACCTTCCGGGGCTTGCTTAGCATCGGGCCCCTGATTGGAGTGTTTCAACTCAGCGATCTAATTGAGGGTTCATGTCATAACACATCAAACGCTGTCTAGTCTCCCGTGATGGAAGGGACCCGCTAGCCGCACATCCCTAGCGCCTGGCAGGGACTTCCGCCCCGCTCACGTGGAAGTTCTTTACCGCGCCAAACCCTGAACGTCCCCTCCCCCAGCCCATCTCCGAGATGGCGGGGCAACCAGGACAGAGCAGAGGCCAGCAAGGAGCTGGGCCAGTAGTGCTAACTCGGTGCCTTGCCCCGGGGACGTTTAAGTCGCTGATGACAGCCGTGAGCTGGGCACAGGGGAGCTAGGACTGCTCTAAGGGGAGGAGCAAAGGAGAAAGCAGGAGCCTTCAGCCAAAGTAGAGGACTCAGAGTGGGAGGAACCCTAGATTTAGCTATACCTGAAGCAGGAGTTGGGAGAGGGAACCTGTAGATATTCTCTGTCCAGAGTGAGGGGAGAGCGGTCCAGCACTGGAAACAGCCGGTTCTGTCGCGGTCCCACCCCCTGCCACCTCTCCTAACCCTCCACCAGGTGGTCTCATTGCAAGTGAAATAGCAGATCCTTCCGTTTGGGTTTACTCTGAAATTTAGGGTTAATGCTACTGAACAACATTTATGGAACTTTTACTGTGGGCCAAGTACTGTGCCAAAATCTATGACACGAACTATCTCATTTAATTCTTCAGCCAGTCCCAGAGAAAGTGCTGTAATCACCCCATTTTGTAGGTGAACTAGGAAGCCAGACGGGTTAAGCAAGTTGTTCAAGGTTACGCAGCTATAATATTATGAGCTATAAAACTCATAATATTCTAGACCTTCAGGCTAATCAAGTGCACAATGGGGGATAAGATAAGGTTTCTAAAAATGGTGGCAAGAAGTTAAAAAAAGTGAGATTTTCTTCATGGCCTGATAGTCTTCTGTAGTCTCCTAAGATGTACTTAGGAATTTTCGTGGGACTTTGGATTGAAGGGTCAGAATTTGTGTTGTGCTGGCACCTTCCTGTGCTTACTCTGGCAGAGGCACCAATTACCTTACCCCGATCTTTCAAAATGTCATCATATCGTGCTTTAAATATCCATAAAGAGGAAGAAGCGTATGTGGGCGAAATTGTAAGATTTGAGTCGATTGGATTAGATATTGCAAAGATGCAGCCAGCTCCTAAAATCTTTCACTGAAAGGCCACTGATCCTGGAGCCCTGCACTCCCAGCTCTGGGAGCTGGGGACAGGGGACAATTTGAACCTCTGTGAATTCTTTTGGGCTGAGGGGAGGAGGGAGGAGGGATAGAGAAAGGCCAGGAGAATAAGAGAATGAGGCAGCCCACTAGAGGAAGGAGGCTCAGGAAGGAGCCATAGTTTCTGTCCTTTGTGAGAAGCACCATGGAAAGCAAAACCCCCAGAGATGAGAGGCACAGTGAATCTAAGACTCTGCTGTGTGCTAGATTTCCAGAAGACTTTGAAATGAGAATGCTCTGTAAACTGTGTTGTTACAATAGTGTTCCCAGAAAGGGAACAGTAAAGAGAGATAAAATGGAAAAAAAAAAAATAAAACTGAGGTCGAGCATCCTTAAGGAACTTGACACCCTAGAAATGACTCTCGGGAGAGTTTGTTGCTGAGTGTTTTCTGGCTTCTCCCTTTCCTTCTGGGTCTCCATGATCAGGCAGCAGGGCTGGGCTGTGCTGGGGACAGACTGGCTGCTGGGCGGGCATTTGAGGAGTTGCAAAGTTCCCCTGCGATTGAAGTTTGTCTGGTACATCATGTTTATGTAAAACGGTGGGATTCTGGGTGGAACTGGGCCACAGAGTAATGTAATCAACGCAGTGGCGTTTTTGCCCGGGCCCTGTTGTCGTTGGCAAACGGAAAATGAAATATAAGCGGGAAAGTATTTTAATGGGGACGGAGGGAATTCGCAACTGTTAATTATTTGGTGACCTTGTATTCGATTTGTTTGAGTCCCTTATAAAAACACTAATTCAGACCAGACGGCCCAGTGAGGAAGCCGGGCAGAAGGTTCCAATCTAGGCTTTATTTCCCCGGAAAGAGGGAACAGCCTTGCAAAAGGCCGCCTAAGGATTGGAGTGTGTGCGTGAGGGCGTCAGGGCAGGAGTGCGGGTGCAGAGTTTGGGTGGTGGCCCAGGTTCCCGGTCCTCCAGAACTGGGGAACCCAAAGGTCCCCGGCAAAGCTGGAGGAAATGGAGAGGAAGCTTAACCTAGAGGCTCACTGTACCCTTCTGGTTGGAAAGATTCCTACAGGCTAAGGCCATAAACCATCGGCTTGTTAAACACCAGTTATTGTCACCTCCATCCCTAAGGCCTGAAGGGCCGGGTGATAGGGGAAGAGCAGAGGTTCAACACACCCAGTTTTCCGCATGCAGAGGGCAGGTTGCACCAGGGTTCATGACCATCTCTGAGGGACCCTGTGCTTGCTCTCCATGGCTAGGCTCTCAGTCCTCTGGGAGTGCGCCCCGTGGAGTGGCTGGTAGGTGAAGGGGCGGAAAATGTGGTCGAACATGTGTCATTCCTGCACTTGAAGAAAATAAAGTTCACCCAAACCACAGACCCTAACAGGCCTTTGAATTTCACCTTTCAAAGTGAATCAGGACTGGAAGCTCTGTCTACAGAGCAGAGAGCCTGTGTATGGCCTGGACCCTCAGGGAACACTGCTAGAGCCCTAGGGCAACCTGT